TATAAATATAATTTTTAATTAATTTTTGTTATTATTAGTATAAAAAGTGAACAAAAAGTGGCTAAATTGGGTCTTAGCTTGAGTTTTTTTTAAATTAAAAAGTATTTATAAAATTAATATATATTAATATTATTATATAAAAGAATAGAAAAATAATAAAAAATTAAACGGGGCGGGGTCGGGGACGGGGACAGGGCGGGGGACCGATCCCCGTCCCCGCCGGGGAACCCGATTAGGATCCCCGATTTTACCCCTTCCCCGGTCAAACCGGGGAATCCCCGACCCGATCGGGTCGGGTACCCGCGGAGATCGGGTCTCGCGGGTATTTTTTCCATACCTAGTAGGACAACATCCAGTTTTATAGGATGCGCAACCCGTCCGGTCAAACAAGATATAGTTTCGTATCCCCACACTTGTACCAACATCACATGGGACATCACATAGAATAAACAAAATATAATATAAAGCAACTAAAACAATAACTACAAATACCTGGAATGTCGAGGGAAAACCATACAAACTTTACGTCTTCCTCAACCTCTCATCTTTCCCCTTCTACGTTAGTGCACGCTTTAAACTTCTTAATAGTCTTCTCGAAAGACATCTCAGCCCAGTTATAATTACAACACATCTCTAAATCATCCACAACTCCTAAGAGGCTATTGTCCAGCTTCAGAGTCCTCTCCCTCCCAAACAAGACAAGCTCCACAAACAATAACATTGATATCTTGACCGCATCAAGGTCATCCTCAAACCGCATCACCATGTACTTTGTCTCGAACTCGCTTAGTATAATGTCTACTTTGTCGTCGAAGTACAACTTTCGAAGCCTCTCGGGAGAAGTGTCCTTACGAATAGACCGCCTACTATATTTTAGGCCCATAATCAAATTAAATTCTTTCAATCCAAAGGATACTCTATTACCAAGCACGTCCATAGTAATTACATTTGGTATACTATCCTCCAACTCCCTAAGCAATAGGTTATGTATAAGTAGCCTGTTAAGTACAAGCTCTACGTCTAGCAAATGACCGAAAATGGTCTTTCCTAAACATACTAAGTTTCCTAGGGGTTAGTTTACTCTTAATAGCCTTGTCGAGCTCCCTATGTGGGATAGGCAGAGGGAGGAATCTTAGGTATCTTTTCCATTTTATAAACCTGAAATACAATAACAATACATACAAACTTAGTATTCAGTAAGCCACAAGTACAGAACCCAAACAAAAGAATAGTAAAGAAACCACGATTCTATCTAATTCTTGATCAAACCACGTCCTAAATCGTGACCGAGAATTATAGCAGAATCCAATTCCCGTGCGAAGTTGAACGAGGTTATTGATTTTGTCGAAATTCTCGATCACGATCTTGGCCATGGTAAGACCAATAATTATTCCAGAATGCAATTCCCGTGCCAACTTGAACGAGGTTCTTCGTTTTCTAAGTTTTCAATTGGACCACGATCATTACCGTGACCGTGAATTTCGACAGAACCAATGGTTCGTTGAAAAATCATGGTGGCACCCACCACCGTGGTTTGCGGTAGAAATATGACAATGGTTCGTTAAAACGGTTACCAGTATTTTACTTTTTTATTATCCAATTTATTAAATTATTGAAGGTACACAAAAAATTTATTTTATTTTATTTTAAATGTCTCATGTTTATTAATCCACGTTTTAGAAATGAAATATGAATTAATCACTATGGGTGGCATAAATGCCATTCAAAATATGAAAAATTATTTTTTGGAGAAATTTTATGTATTTAACAAATTTAACAAATTC